TTCATTTAGCTCAGCCTGTGCCCTATTCTGGTCGGAGTCGCCCACCGCCTGCATCTGTTGGATCTTCTGCTCCAGCAGGCTCTGCTGCTCGGCCAGCTGTCGACTCTCCTCCTTGACTTTCTGCGAGGAGAAACATGCTCAACGTTCAATGATGCAGTGTGCCTCGGCATGTTGCCCCAGTGTGAGATGATGCACAAAGTAGAGCTTGAAGGGTGAGGCACTGAAAGCTTTCTCTTGTGCATGAAATAATTGTTGAATGAAGCGCTGGTCATCTTTAATTGTGGACAAGTCTGTGGGGCCCTTTTCATTAGAACACGGAAAATAAGTGAACCTAAAAAACCCCAAAAGACAAAACGGTAGTGGCAAAACGACTTTCAAGTTGAGCGGTTGCACTTGGCACCGTGTTTGGAAGCACAAATACTCCGTTGTTCCAAATTTAAAACAAACTTTCGTGCATCTTCACATATGGTAGGAAATAGCATCGACTACAAGCTTGGAATGGAATCTTTCTAGTGTCAAAGATGAAGAGATAAATCACTGGAGAGAGAAGAGGACTTCTGGTTTACAGTAATGGAGAGTCTCAGTCCTACAAGAACGTAGGTAGCGTTTTGGGTGCGATCATCCGTGGAGTGTAGACGGCACGTACCTCTTTCAGTGTTTCGAGTTCCTTGGTCCGACGCTGCAGCCGTGTGTCCAGCTTGCTCACTTCTTCCTGTTTGCTCTCCACCATCTCGGTCAACTGTGGAACAAATTGCATTATATCAGATCCCATGACAGACGTATGTAACAGGTGTCAAAAGTGATAGGACGTTGGAGAGATCAGTTGGTACCCGGTGTCTCCTTCACCCGCCAGCCCTGTGGACAGACTGAAACTATTTTGGATCGTCACCTTTTGCCCACAGAAAATTAACACCACCCCCTTTTACACAGATCGTTAACCCTAACCCCCCAAGGGTTGCTGGCCCTAACCTTCCCCATTCACACAAAGTTAAACACCTATATGGGGCTTTGTGCACAGAGGCTGTTGGACTTTGTTTTTCTGAGGTATGCCAAACCCAATGCAAAAGCCAGCTGTTATGGGCCTACCAGACCTATCCCCACAGAATGAAACACTTTACTACTGTTTAATTCTGTGTGGTTGGGGAGGGTTACGGTTAATGTGGTGAATAAATCTTTATAAATTTCCTTTTGAAGCTGTGAGTACGATATAAATATGGGCTAAGACAGCAAAACAGAATTGGCCAGGAGAGGCCAGGTTGGATTTAACTCTGGTTCAGAAATGGTTGGTCTACAGTGTCAAATACTCGTAGGTCACGCAACCTTCGGATGTACATGCATGTATCCCACGATATATACATGCCTGCTCCCATTGTCTGTGTGTGGACACGTGTCAGTCTCGGAATAAAACCGCACAGCACCCACTGTGGCCACAGTCAACAACGTCCTTCAATCGGGGTACATTACTCTTTAAACATTGTTGGTACACAACTCCCTGTTGGTACCCTTTCATGAGGGCAATATGCAGGGACGCCAGGCTGTGTGTGTGCTGTTTTTTTGTGGGTTACCTGTTCCAGGGTTTCCTCCTCGAGAAGTTTCTGGCTGTTCAGCTTGTGCATTTCTTCGTTGACTTGCTTCTTCAGTTGAATCAGAGCGGGCTGGAGACAGAGAGATAAGAGCAAATTATGTCGACGATATTGGCCCCATTCAAGGAAGTCAATCTTGCCTTTTAAAAAAATTATGGAATGCAAACAAAATGTTTCATTGGGAGACCTTAACGGTGCTGGCAAAGTCCACGAGCGAGGCCGCGTTCCCCTGGGTGTTGTAGAAGCTGATCTTCATCTCGTAGTCGATGCCGTGGGCGTTCTCCGCCGTGGAGGGAATCAGGTTCAGAGTCCTGGCCTGGTTGTTGAACTGAGTCACATGCTTCTCAAGCTGGAGTGTAAGCGAAGAGTAACGACGGCAGTACGCCAGTCAAGTCAGGATTCATTTTGAGCAAGTCTGGTCTGAGCCAATTTGACTCATTGGGCCGGTGTTTATCTCGGGTTTCCTTGGCATGAAACGACCGAGAATATTTCCATTCCCCCTTGATGGGATGCCAGTCCATCGCGGGTAAAGTGGCTTGCCAAGGGCCACAACATACTACCAGCAGCTCGATTCGAACCTCCAACCCTATGATTGGAATCCACAGACCATTACCACTTGGCCACATGCCCCCAGGATTCATTTTGAGGTGATTTGTTTTTAATCCCGCTGATATTAAATTACATGGTTTATCAAAGTAACTCGAATATCTGACAACCTTTTGGGTGACCGAACATAATTTGTTTATATGACAGAAATATGGTACATGACTCGGCTTGGTGACAACAAATGGATTTAAATTGACTCAAAAAGCATCTGACTCCCTCACTGGAACCTTCAGATAGTAACAACTTGAGGAGGAAAAGTGTGAGTCTACAAGAAGATGAGGTATGAATGTTGTTATCATTATTCACTGAAGATCCTAACGATCTTTGTTAATAAACAGATGATGCAGGGGATTTCTCCTGACGTTGCTTGCTCTGTGTCGCCTCAGTGAGGAACGCCTTGCCACCTGCTCTTAATTGTCAGCGGTCAGCTTTCTCCCGCTGTGAATTTCACGAAATAATGTCCTCTTGCCGAGCCCACCTGTTCCTGTTTCTTGGCAATCTGTTTTTCCCTGTCCCAGATCTCCTGGTCGATGCCCTGCTTGTCTTTCTCGATGGCCTCCAGGGTGGCGTTCAGCTGCCGCATCTCAGCGTGGAGGCGCTGCACGTCGCCGGCCGACAGCTCCTGGTGGGCCAGCCGGTGCTCCAGCCTCTCCTTCTCGGTCGCCGTCTTCTCCAAGTCCAGTTCTGGTCGTAAACGAGGGGGAGGAAAAGGAGAAAATTCTGGATGAGGCTTATCGTTATGAAAGAGTTCATGTTTGCAAATGTGTCTCTGCAAAATGGAGTGGTTCGCAGATTGATGCACCCTGAAGCCTGGCTTCCGTATCAACACAAAGAGTTATTAGGTCCAATGGTGCCTGGTAGTTGACCAGCCATAGCAGGCTAATACAGACTCCCAGGCTGTTGAGATAACTGGTCTATTGGATCTTGGTACACCTTGCAGGTCTTTCGTAGTGACAACTTCTGTGCACTGTTATGTTGAGCAGGCTTTCCAGCTAAAATAAAAGGAGTTTCAAGCTGCATTCAGCTATGTTGTCTAAAGCTAGGGCTAGCTTTTCACTTGCCGGAAACAACCAGGGACAGGCTGACAAGAGACCCAGCTGTAGCTCCAAAAGCCCGTTTTGGACACGGCTTATGCATCAGCCCAGCCTCTGTCTATTTGCACCAACGAGGGCGTGCTTCTGCACCAAGCCAACATTAACCCCCCCTCCTTCCCTTGGCCGACGCTTGATTTTCGCTGACCTGCCTGCTGCAGCTGCAGCTCAAGGTCCTGCAGCTTCTGCTGCTGGAAGCGCTGATGCCCCGTCAGCTCCTGCAGGTACTTGTGGAAGCGCTCGTTGTCGCTGGCCATCATCTGAGCGTGCTCCTGGAGTGCTGTCAGGCGGCACTGTGCCAAGAAAACCAACAGGAAAAGATCATCAGAAGATTGAGAGGTTGTGGCTCACTTTGCCGGATAGAGCAACGTTTATTTTTGAGCATCTTTACAACTTTTTCTAAAATTCTATTTCCATGTTTTCCTGTCAAGGCCTTAGAAAAAAAAAAAGCCTGGGAATGGGAGCAGCTTTTCAACAC